TTTCTTATTTAAATGTGTATGAATAATTTTAATATGATGGAAAGTTTTTGTCATAATAAAAATATTTTTACTTTATGCAATAAAATAAAGTTTAATAGTTTTTTTGTTTGTTTCTTGTTTTGTTTTAAGAGACAGGGTCTCACTATGTTGCCCAGGCTGGAGTGCAGTGCCTATTCACAGGCACAGTCGCACTTATGATCAGTACGAGAGTTTTGACTCCGTTTCTGACCTGGGCAGGTTCATCCCTCCTTAGGCAATGTGGTAGTCCTCCACTCCCAAGAGGTCACTATACTAATGCCAAACTTAGTGAGGACACCCAACGCATAGCACACTATAGCCCAGAACTCCTGAGCTCAAGCGATCCTCTTGCTTCATTCAGCCTCCTGTGTAGCTGGGACTACAGGCACGCACTGCTATGCTTGGCTTGATAGGTTTTGTTAAACCAAAGAATAGCAGCTGAATGGTGATGACTATTCAAGGGTTAGAGTCTTCATATTCACAAGGGATCCTAGGCAGGGTGTGATTTTAAGCATCATTATCTGTATGAGGCTTTTGGATGTATTAATAGTAGAGCACTTGTATGTAGCCAGTCTAGAGGGGATATAGCCTGAAAATTGAAATTCTACAAAATAACTGAGGAATGCTCTTCAAAAATGTCACAAAAAAACAGGGAAAGGTTGAGCTCTGTCACAGAAGAAAATAGGTATGACAACTAAATGCAGAGTGGGATCCTGAAACAGAAAAAGGACATTAGTGGGAAAACTGGTAAAATCCCAGTAATCTGTAGTTTAGTTAGAAGTATTGCACCAATATTAGTTTTGATAATTGTGCTATGATTATATGAGATGTTCACTTTAGGGGGTGCTAAGTGAAGGGAACTGTCTGTACTATTTTTGTAGCTTTTCCCTAGTGTAAAATTTTTTCAAAAAAAAAAGTTAAAAAAATTATTCACACATAAAAAAGGGATTTGGGCCAGGCATAGTGGCTCATGTCTATAATCCCAGAGCTTTGGGAGGCCAAGGCAGAAGGATAGCTCAAGGTCAGGAGTTTGAGACCAGCTGGGCAAAAGAGTGAGATCCTGTCTCTACAAAGAAAAATTAAAAAATTAGCCAGGCATGGTGATGTGCACTTATAGTCCCAGCTATTCGGGAGACTTAGGTGGGAGGATTGCTTGAGTTGGAGGCTACAGTGAGTGATGATCGAGTCACTGCACTCCAGCCTGGGTGACAGAATGAGGCCCCCATCTCTAAAAAAAAGGATTTTATCAGACTCTTCAAGGGGTAGAGAGTGTCTTTCGTTTGGATAGAAAGCAGTGCTTTGTGCTGTTATTCTGTTTTAGGCACTGTGTGGTAGGCAGCTGTCCATTTTGCCCACTGCACACTCATTCCCCTGTGTTCTTTTTTTTTTTCTTTGAGACAGAGTCTCACTCTTTTGCC